TGAACTTTCCTTTAGTATGCCCTGATTATAGTACTTTTTTCTCGATTTCACGCTATTAAAACGACAATAATCTGATATAGATCCTCCACATTTCTGGTTTGCCAGATTCTCTCCCGACCTCCTATCAGTGATCAATGTTGTACAAAAACACTGCAGGCAAAACACGACCCTAGCACTATTCACAAACTTTATCAATTTTTAAACACCACGGCGAAAAATCTCCATTTTCAAAGAATCATACAACCGAAAAAGCAATTTTACACGAATAACACGCTGAAAAGCTGAAGAAATTTGTGACAGCGCAAAAAAACTCAACCGTTCGCGGGCAGAACCTACTTCGATCTCCGCTGAAAATGTCCTGCAATATGCTATTAACTATGTTCGACGGCAAAGCTATAAATTCCCTAACGGAAACAAAATCCTCACAAACTTTCTATCTGTGCGGTGCAACTCCCAAGCAAATGAACGAGATTAACCGTGTTAGAACAAGAGCTGTGGACAATGATCGGTGTCAATATGGATTATGCACACTCCGTGCTTGGATACGATTTTTTGAATACTTCTTACATCTATCGTACAAACTTGAAGTTAAAAATGGCAAGTTCGTGAAGATGCAGTAGAATCGGTAAAACAAAGAAAGAAACTCATTCAGCAGAAATTTAAAGTCGAAATGGGACTACTGGTTGATAAACCACGTTCTGGAGGAGCAGGTAAATCATGAAATTAGTAAAATTATTTCTTTTTAACGTCTTATACGGCACTCATTTTTGACAGGTAACTCGAACGATGGCAACACTGCTAGAATATTTTTCCAAAACCCTAAAAAAGCTGCTTAAATTACTGGACTCGACGAAGTTTTAATAAAACTATGTGCGGTAATACTGTCAGTACTGTCATCGGGGATGCAGGTACATGCACATAAGTTTGAGAAGTACTGTTTAGAGACGCTAGACTGCTCACATCAAAATATCCGTGGTACTACATGCCAGTAACGGTCCACAAGGTGCTAATTCATGAATCGAGAATTATAAAACATTTTCTTGTACCTATTGGACAGCTATCTGAGGAAGCACAAGAAAGCCGTAACAAGGACCTCAAAAGGTACGATGAATTTGATAAAGAATATCAGTGTTAATAATTATTATTTTCATAGATATAGATCGGACCACACTAGAAAAATTTTAAGAACAGTAAACACAGATCTACTGCACCGTCTCCTGGAATCGTCTAATCCACTCATCAGTAGCCTTAGAGCATCTCGAGACAAGCCGATTAATGACCTCTGTAGCGATGTAAAATACATGCTTGATGTGGAAGAGAAAGATGAAATTTTTTTTTGATAACAATATTGTTCGAGCGAAATCTCTGGACGTTCCCCTTCCAACTAAGATGTGTACAGTTATCCCCTGCAGCATCCCCTATAGTGGTTATTGATCGATAAGTTTGTCTCTTTTCTTTACATATACTGTATTCTCTTTCCTAAAACCAACTTCAAATGTATTGAATTGGAAGAATAAAAATCAATTGAATAATCGGTGAAGTGATTCGCACGCGTTTTTTGTTACTCGTCCTTCAGATCGTGATTTCCCGGGTTTTCCGTATTTTCTCCGGCTCTGGTCACTCCATAAATTGGTCCTTCGAACCGGATCGGGCCGTAGGTGATCAAAAAGGTGCGTTTATCCACTTTTCGTCACTGTGCCGCGATTCGCGAAAGTGAGTACCAGAGTGAGGTTGGAATATCACCTCTGAAAAGAACATTCCCGGTGAAAGTGGGTGATACTGAAACTTATCATCGTCTAGTTTACCCACCATGGACAAGCTGCTACGTGAGAGGAGATCGCTCGAAGCACGTTTATACCGAGCATCGCAAAATATCCAGAAGCTTCAGAAGAGGGATGATATCGATGACGTTGACATCAAAACCGAGCTGGATAACATTCGAGAAATTTGGGCGGCTTATCTCTCGGTTCACAAGCGAATGGTGGATAGTTGCAAGGATGACGAGATGGATAAAATCCTGAAACATCAGGCCGAATTCGAGGGTAATTTCGCTCCCCTGAAAGGTACCCTGTTGAAGCTCCGAAAAAGGTTCGATTTTTCTTCGACCCGCAATGAGGCAGCATCACAAGATGGCGGCGCTGCCATTCAACAACTGGCACAGCAACAGGCAGAATTCATCCGACTGATCTCCAGCAGCTTCAATACGGCGTCCAACTCAAGCAGCAGTTCAACGGTTGGTGCCCAAAATGCTTCTCCACACACCGATGTCAAGCTCCCTCGGATGAATATGCCTACATTTGTAGGCAACATCCTCGAATGGCCTTCTTTTTTTGACCTATTCGACAGTGCGGTACACAAGAACGTGGCTCTACAGGATAGTCAGAAGCTCTACTTCCTCAAGACCAACCTTGTCGAAGAAGCCGCCGCTCTGATATCGCACCTTCGTATAAAAGACGCCAACTCTTGATAGAGCTGAAATTAGGGCGTAACAGCTTTTGTAAACAATGACTTCTTTCGACGATTTCTAGAAAGTCAAGGCTAGTCAACGCAATTCAACATCATCATCGGATAGAGGAAGACTTCCTCTACCTGAAGGTTATGTTGGTTTGCGTGGGCGTGCCTTGAACTCCTATGAATCATTGAGAGAAGCCATTGTTTACAAAAGCTGTTACGCCCTAATTCCAGCTCTATCTAGAACTATGCTCCCGCTCTAGCCAAGCTGAAGGCTAGGTACAACAAGCCGCTCGAAATCGCTGCACAGCACATTCATCGGTTCTTGAATCAACAATCTATGACGTCACCATCAGCTGCCGGTCTGCGCTCCCTACATGATGTGTCCTATGAAGTTATTCGAGCACTGGAGGCCATGAATCAGGAAGGAAGGGATATATGGTTGCTGTACATTCTAGCCGAAAAACTGGATCCTGAAAGTAAGCAGTTGTGAAGTCAAAAAAGGTCGGAGCTCAAAGACGAACAAGTTACCTTGGAGAGGTTCCTGAAGTTTATCGATGCCCAAAGCTGCGCACTGAAATCTGTTCAGCCGATTCGTCAAAAGAAACCGATGTTCATCACGCCTTTTCCAAGCAAACATTCTACCAGGGGACCAACAGCTCTCGTCACCACCGGGTACCTCTCTACTCCACTAATGTGCGTTTTTTATGCAAAATCACTACATCAACTGTATCAGTGTGGTAAGTTTCTTCATGTCAGCTCCGATGAACGACTCCATTTTATCCGTAGGCAGAACCTCTGTGAGAACTGCCTGAAGCAACATTCCGGTGAACCTTGCCAGTCCGGCAATTGTCGAAAATGTAATCTTCCTCACCACACTTGTCTGCACGAAGCACTCCAATAGACTGCCGCTTCAACGACAGGCAACAGTACAGCGGCCACAACCAATATCTATGGTTCGTCTTCGATGTCGTAAACATTGATTGCACCGCTCTGTCGAGCAACCGATTTCATGGACACCAACGTTCTACTGCTGGCCGCTACCATCAACGTCTTTGACAAGTTTGGACGTCCACATGCTTGTCGAGCAGTCCTTGATTGGGCGTCCCACACAAGCTACATTACTGAGGATTTTGTAAGAAATTGTGTCTCTCCACTGCAGATGTAGTCTTCGAATTCGGTGAAATTGCTAATACTTCTGGGCACGCGAATAAAGGAGCAGTGATTACATTCGCTTCACGTTGCTCAGACTATCGGAATGTAGTGCCGTGCATTATTCTTGAGCGACTTACTTCTGAGCTCCCGTTAAAGCCGATCAACATCACGGATTGGCCAATTCCAGGGTCGATTCAATTGGCTGATCCCCAATTTCACCATCCCGGAAAGGTCATCCTTCTCGAGAACAAACTCTTCTTCCAGCTGCTCGAGCCTGGAAGAATCAACCTTGGTTTGGACGACTGCCTTCCCGTACTCCAGAATACTAAATTAGGATGGGTGGTTTTTGGTGGCTACAAAGACCTCACACTAACGCTCCTTCATGCTTACTGACGGCTCCCAATGATCCTCTCTCCGATCAGCTCCGCATGTTCTGGGAACTGGAGGAATACACTAATAAATCTCCGCACTTCAACGATGAAGAGATCCGATGCGAAGAGCATTTCACGAAGCACGCGATTCGTAATAGTACCGGAAAATTCATCGTTCGGCTTCCATACCTAGACAGCCCTACTTCTCGCGGCAAATCGAGGGAAATTGCAGAGAAAAGACTGCTACACCTCGAGCGCAAATTGGAAAGGAACCCTAATTTGAAATAACAGTACCATTCTTTTATGCGAGAGTACATCGACCTCGGGCACATGAGTCTCGCCACTACACCAGTATCGGAGAATTGTGTTTTCCTTCCACACCATTGCGTCGTAAAGGAGGATAGTTCGACGACAAAGTGCCGGGTGGTCTTCGACGCCTCAGCTAAAACAAGCAGTGGCAAGTCCCTCAACGACATCCTCTTGGCGGGCCCTGTGTTACAGGATTCTCTGGTCAACATCCTTTTGCGATTCCGGTTTCCCCCAGTTGTACTCGCCGGTGATGTGAAACAGATGTATAGAATTCAGTGTTCACTCGGCTGTCGACAAAAGCAGGCCACTCTCGATGCGTGCTACGCGATCGTCTGTTTTCTCGGCAGCAACCATTGTGTGGTCCTCCTCATTGTTCTTCATCAGCAGTTCTTTCGGTCGATGCGTCGTCGACTTTGGAAAGCAACCGTTTCGTGATGAATGTGTGAGTGCTGACCACGTTTTGCGTCCATTGCTGCAATGGACGCGCTCTGACCCTCGTTGGCGTACAACAATTTGCCATACAATGAAACCACTGGAAGCGGCTCCAGTACTGATGGAGGAGGCTTTTTGGATAGCGGAAGATAAAGTGTTTATTGTGTTGTACCTTTTGACTATAGTTTTAAGATGTATTGTATAGTGACCAAGAATCCTCGGCTCTGTAAAGTTAATTCGGTTGAGCCTTATCAAATAAATTAATAAACAAAAAAAAAAAAGATGTATAGAATTGTGCTTCTCTACTATGAGGATCGAAACTGCATTCGAATCTTGTGGCGCTGGTCAGAGGACAAGCCGATCCAGGAATACTGTCTAAATACCGTTACTTACGGTACCAAAAGCGCATCGTATCTGGCGACAAAATGTATACAGCAGCTTCTGCTCTCCCATCAAGGGCAATTTCCGGATGCAGTCGAGAAGGCTATCAAGGGGATTTACGTCGACGACGTACTGACGGGTGCTGATTCTGCTGATGAAGCCAAGCAACTTCGACAAGAGCTTTCCATCACCGAAGCCCTAGAAGGTGTTCCTGAGGCGGACCTTGAAATGAAAATTCCCATCGAGCTCAACGAACCCAACACCATCAAGGCCCTCGGGATCCACTGGCAGCCGTACAGTGACGAATTCCTGTTCAGCGTCCAACCACCCAAGATCCTTCAGCCTACAAAGCGCATCATTCTCTTCAACATCGCCAGCCTTTTCGACCCACTCGGTCTGCTTGCGCCTATCATCATCAAAGCGAAGCTACTGATGCAACATTTGTGGGAACTGAAGGTGGACTGGGATGTTATTCCCCCTGGTGAGTTGACTAATATCTGGCAAGTTTTCGTGCAAGGTCTGGCCCTTCTCAACTCCTTTCAGGTTCCGAGACGAGTTATCGGCACTAACAGGACGTCGCGAATTTTCCTGCACGGCTACAGTGATGCATCCGAGCATATACATCCGGGCGATCGACGATGCTGGGAATAATAGTTCACATCTACTCTGCGCAAAGTCCAAGATTGCGCCAATTGGAAATAAACGAACGACGCTGCCACGTTTGGAGTTATGTGCTGCAGTGATCCTCGCACGACTCATCAACAACGTAGCAAGCGCCATCAATCAACTTTTCTTCGAGATACGAGCTTGGGTGGATTCAAGTGTTGTGCTTGCCTGGCTCAACGGCGGTGCTTCCCGCTGGAAAACCTTTGTTGCCAACCGGGTGGCAGAAATCACCACGCACCTACCGGCAGTCAATTGGAGCCACATCGCATCGGAGCAAAACCCCGCTGATCTCATTTCGCGCGGTGCATCGCCAGAACAAATTCAGCACAACAGTCTGTGGTGGAATGGTCCTGCATGGAGCCCCATAGGTGAGCAATGTGAATCAACCGACATCCCTACACTGACCAACACTGACCAACAGCACATTGATAGGGAGCAAAGAGCTGGTGCAGTAGCCGTTTCTCTCATCACTCTCTATGAAAATGACTTTCTCGATGGAATGATGGCACGATATTATCCCGATCTCAGGATGCTGCTTCGGGTCACTGCTCGTATTCTTCGGTTGAGGTATCCTGACTCTCGATCGATTCCTCGTCTGTTACCACGGGAGCTTGAGCGAGCCCAAACAGTTTACATTCGCCACGTTCAGCAACAGCACTTTCGTGAAGAGCTGGATCGTTTGCGGCATGATGGAGAAGTTAGTTCGCACAGCAGTTTGCACCAACTCAAGCCATTCCTGGACGAAGAGGGTATGCTCAGGGTGGCTGGAAGACTACAACAGTCAAGTCTCAGCTACGACGTTCGACATCCTATATTGATACCTCGCCATTCTATCCTCACATCTTATCTGTTAAATCATGACCACATTGTCCATCACCACTGCGGGCCACAAACACTGCTAGCCGTATCCCGGAGGAGATTTTGGATAATTAGTGGTGCAAGTGCAGCAAGGAAGGCTTATCGTCAGTGTGTGACGTTTGCACGTGCTAAGCCAGTACCAACGCATCAACAAATGGGTAAGCTGCCATCTGATCGAGTTCAACCAAATCCACCATTTGCGATTACTGGTGTGGACTATGCCGGTCCAGTCAGCATTGTTGGACGTAGGACCAGAGGTGCGAAACAAAGGCCAAATGTTCTCGGACAACGCAACGAACTTCCGAGCAACAGCTAAGCACCTTCGAGAAATGTACGCGCAACTCAACTCTTCTGTACACAACGATGAAGTGGTCGACTTTCTAACCAACAAGGGAGTGGAATGGAACTTCATTCCAGCTCGGTCTCCACACCATGGAGGATTATGGGAGTGATCAAGGTTGCTAAGCAGCATTTGTCGAAGATCACCAGCAGTTACATCTTTACCTTCGAAGAACTGTCCACGCTGATAGCTCAAATTGCTGCCACCATGAACTCGAGGCCCCTTACACCGATCTTTAATAGCCCTATCGATGCTCAACCTCTCACTCCTGCTCACCTTCTCATCGGTCGTGCACTCACCACCGTTCCCGAAGTCAACTTGCTGGAGCGGCAAATTAGCTCGATGTCACGTTGGCAGTTCGTTCAGCGTCTCTCGCAAGAATTTCGCACTAGATGGCAGACAGAATACGTGCGATCTCTGCAGCGGATGGCAAAGTGGCAACGTTCATCCCACAACGTTTCGGTCGGCGACTTCGTTCTACTAGTGGACGACTATTCGAAGCCAAAGCAATGGCCTACGGGTAGAATCATCGAAACCTTCTCAGGAGCAGATGGAGCAATCAGAGTGGTATCAGTCCGAACAGCATCTGGTACTACTCGTCGCGATGTAAGGAAGATAAGAACCATACCATTGGATCAGGATGAGTATGTTCCAAGAAGACTTCGATCGGAAATTCCCATAGGGAATTTGGTGGGCGGATTATGTTCGCACGCGTTTTTTGTTACTCGTCCTTCAGATCGTGATTTCCCGGGTTTTCCGTATTTTCTTCGGCTCTGGCCACTCCAAATATTGTGTAACCTTTGTTTATATTTTAGAACTATTTATATATACATACATTCAATGATGTATAACGTAATACGTTAAATCATTTAATTATAATATAATAGTAGCTAACTCAATATTATATATTGCTTTCAAGTAGACTACTGTGATGAGCATTACGGCAATTACTCTGATGCCCTGTGGTCAAGACCTTTTTGAAATGCAAAATAATCAACGTTGATACTAAAAGAGACAAACGTTTCAATGGAATTTGAGATCCCTTTTAAACAATCTTTCATCTTATTAAAGATTCACCTGCCGGATTTTGCCGGATTTTTGTCTGTGAGGGCACAAAATATGATTTTTTTTTTACTAAATTTGTGAATAACTCAAGCTGTGTTATTGATACCTTTTGAACGTCTTTAAAAAGTTTGTTATTTTGATTAAATACAAATATTTGTTGTACATTATAGTCTTCTAAAACCTATTGTTTTTAAAATATGTTATAAAAACTGAAAAAAACCAAATTTTGTTGAACAGTCATATAAAACGCTGCGTATCTCAAAAACTAAGGCATATAGAGGATTAATGTAATGGGCAAAGATTTTTGTAGTAAAATTATCTACAATTTTGCTAAAGACACCACATACCTATCTTGTAAATGTAAAAAGTTAGATTTTGCAGCGCCGCCTGTGGTGGACTTCCGAACTTAAACCTATCACTAGTCTTTGCACCTTATTTTATACAAAAACTCTTTTAAAGGCATCTTAGTGAAAAAACCCACATTGAAGGCTCAAATAAAAAAAATCGTGATATTGAGCATTCAAACCACTGTGCAGTGGTGTAGTGGTAAGCGTAATTACCTCTAACCCCAGCAGGCCTGGGTTCAATCCCAGTCGGCGCCGCCGGGACTTTCTGAGACATAACATCTCTGATTACGCTCCTTCGGAAGAGAATTAAAGCCGTTGGTCCCCGGTTCATGAGTTGATGGGTCGATAGATAGGGTCCAGGTGTAGGAGCTGCCTTCCTGGCGTCGGTAGCATTGGTGCTCAGCACGGAAAACAAGATCGACGGAAAACAAATCAAGGAAAAAGAAAACAATTACGCAATGTTTCAAGCAAATTGAAGATGGTTGATTAAAGCATTCAATTTTCTGAAGTAGGTATACGTCTTTGTAGACTTTACTGGGGTGCAAATCAAAAAATTGTGTGACGAAAAAGTGTCACTTATAATGTGGCCATTTATTGATGGATTTCAATTCTTTTCACACCATTTGATTCAGATTTGATGTAAGATTTGTTTTGTGTGCATATTATAGTAATTTACCATTATTATACTATTGAAAATTGATCAAACTTGTTCGCTACAATCAACCAACTACGCGCATGCTTGCTATGACTATGGAGAAAGCAGAGAGAAACTAGCTGATTATGAGCCATTCGAAATAAGTCATTTTTTTAATGCAAACGTTAACATTAATTTATTTAGAAGGATCTAACATTTTATCAATGATCCACCATGTTGAATGCTCAAATTTGAAAATCTACTGCTATCTTGAATGATCAATTTTGTAAATATTCAACCATCTTGGAATTGAAATTGTCATTGCTCTTACAACGATATTGCATCTTGAATCCACCATTTTGAAAATCAACCACCATTTTGGCAATGAAATGGTTATTTCAATTGTGGACTTACCATAACTGGTCAAAATCTCAACCCAAGTAACAATTTCGGTTTAATAATGGTTCTGAAGACCATGATTTAGACTTGTAGTATACTTTAAAACCTCCATAAAACCTGCAATGTTACTTGGGAATGCTCCTCTTGTTAGCTAGTTTTCAATACCTAGTGTTGGTGCAATTTGAATTTGGGTGTGGTTTGAATGGGTGTGGCGTCAAAACCAACTGAAAAGCAATAACTTTCACCTTACGTACACAGGACCACATTGACCAACACGTGGGCATGCTCTGGATATCTTCTGGAAAGTTTCTAAAAATTCGATTTAATTAAAAAGGTTAGATCTCACCATAGGTGGATAAATGCAGATTCACATTCAGAAATAATCATTGGTATCTCAGTGATTAGCGTTGGGCCTCGTCCTTCCGCTCCAGCAGAACTTTTCATCTATGTCAGTCAGTGTCTCGGTAGCAGCGCTGCCATTTATACAGATTTATCTGTATTATACAGATTTTTTATTCTTAATACAGACCCGATACAGAATACAGATTTATCAAAGATTTTTAAATTACAATACAGATTTATACAGATTTTTATAAAATGCTCGAGAAAAAAAAAATTCAAAATTTATAAAAACAAAATAACTTGCTCGATTTTATCAGCGTACCCCCTTCTCTCCAAAATTAATTGTTGTGCTAAAAACCATATTTTTCGCAGTGGGATCTGCTCGAGGCGTTGCTGTTTCTTTTATGCTTCTCTCACTCCCTCCAACGGAAAACGCAGTCACGCCCGATTCCACTGTGCGTTTATATAGCTGCCTTTTAATAACTCATGATGACATCAAAATTTGATGTATTTTTATTTTGTTTTTTCGGCATGCATGCAATAACATGTTGATAACTAAATTTGTAATCTAAATAAAATATCTATATCAAAATAAGTTATCAAGAAGTTCTCAATATCAATATATGTTATAATTTTGATATTCTTCGCATATCTTTTAGCTCTCATTTTTGTTCTGTTAGCCATCAACTCCATCAAAATGAAATCAATTTGAGTTATCAGGAATAATGAAAACAACATAATTCTTGTTGTTCATTTCCATCGACAATTAATCATGTTACGGTGTTTTTGACAGCATTCACAACCAGAGGACCAACCGCTTTCGGATGCATATGGAGCTGGTAGTAAACGATTTGAGATTGTATGGGGATTTACAGTATTAATTGAATATTTCCAATATAAGCATGTATGTTAAATACAAGAAAAGTGCCCAAGCACATTAAAATAGTACAAATACAAGTACTCGTAAACATTTTACTTGCATTGAAAATGTATTTCGTAAGAAATTGCGGATTTTCTGATATTCTCCATACTGCAAAAATGATTTTACCAGCACTGGCGGGGCGACATCTCTCGACTTTTCGGTGTAACTACCACACAAATGATGTAATTAATTGTATTCATCTATATTAAAAATATCAAATAGTAATGAACTCGTGCACTTTTTTGCATTTAAAACTGCTTATCAGGAAGATAATGAATAGAAACTAAAATCTCCATACATTTTCAAACGGCTTCATATCACTCTTATAAATAAGTACGGACGATATCACAAATGGCGCAATTATATCCCGTATGGTTAGTACGATAGCCCGAATAGGTGGTTAAGCACTTTTTATGGTTATTTTGTATGCACTGTATTTGTAAAACAACAAAACATGATTAATTAAGAAAAAAATCGTCAATACAGCAAATACAGATTTTTTAATAGAGTGGATACAGATTTTTTATTAAACCACCTGGCAGCTCTGCTCGGTAGCGTAAACATCGCAGCGCTCATTCGGGTGAACCTTTCTGTTTGTTGTTAGCATCATTCGTGGTTGGAACGGCACACAAAGTAATCATAAATTTATTATTCATGTAATTTTCTGTAAATTTAAAAAGGATCACCACCATAAAGGCTGATTCGACTTTCGACTTTGAAGCGAGCACTCTCAGGATAAACTCCTGACACCGGTGGTGATGGGTGGAGGCTCATCTTCTCAGTCTCAGTCGTTGAATTAATTCCATCACCAACAATCGCTTGTGAATTTTCAGCAAAACCGTAAAAAATCCTCTATCTCATTAGCACTTCCAACATGGGCCGCTGGTTTGAGTACTTAAACCAACCTGGAAATTAAATCCCCTCTACTCGACAAAAAATTAGTTTAGGATAGTTTAAAAGGTCTCAGTTTTTTACTTGATTGTCGAATGAACTCAGGAATAGAAAGGATCACTTACCTTTCCCAGGAGTAGCTACCTACGTACCAAATCCGCAGTCCATAATCGCTTCGGTTGGGTTCTAATTTAAATTTAATTCCTTTGCCTTATGAATAGCTCTAAATAGCTCTGGGGGTGGATCAAAGACGGATACCGAAAGTTCTCACAACCTTCCGAACTAGCATCAGCACACACAAAAAAAAACCGCATCCCCATCATCGATTGGCTCATGTTTCACTCAACAACAACAACAAAAAACGCCGCTCCGACGCAACAAATTTGCGTATGGCATTTTCCCACATCAAACACACAAACTCTGCCATCAACTCTCCTGGAACCGCACATTTCGCAGAGCAGAGAATGATGATACCCGCCCAAACCGCAATTGAATGCATCCGGCAGGCGGGCGGCACGCAACTCGTAATTTCATCAGTTGTCATTCCCGCGGCTCGTAGATCTCCGGGCTCTCTACGCTACGGCCGGCTTAGTCTCCATTCATCTTTGAGCTGCTGGCTGCGGTGGCTGCTGCTTTCTAGAATAATTGCCATCAGCCGATGACGACGGCGAAGACGAAGACGACGTCCGTTCTTTTCTTCGGTGACTGCAGTCCGACTAAGCAGCACGTCGCGCGGAATACGAAAGGCAGGGGACGAGCGCTTTTGTTCCGATCCGTTGTTGCGAAGAGCGGCGAACCGCCTAGTCTCAAACAGGAGGAGCCTTTTGGGAGAGTGTGGGCTTTTGTGCGGCGCGGGCGATGAGAAAAGGACAGTGGGGGAAACAAGAGCATATCCCGAGCATCATTAATAAGCCTAATAAAGTAGGCGCATGAATAGAGACAGGTAATGCGATATTGGACTGCGAGGTCGATGGGGGGACTCGACGCAGGGTTGAATTGCAGGTGTGGAAAGGTTTGTTTTATAAAAATCTGAAATAAGGATGGATTAAAACTTTATTAATTTAAACACAAAAGGAAGTGCTGTTTCGAATAACCGGTTCACTATTGCCTATTTGATAGAAATTCAGAAGGAGGGCGCAACTACCCCAATTCCTATTTCACTTGCGAAATACACACTAAAAAAATCTTCTCGCATTGCAGTAAATAAAATTGAGAATCTAAACGCGTAAGAAAATATTATCATCTAATCTAGACACATCAATCTGCCAATCTGCACACTAAGAATAGATCGCCGAATTTTGTGAAAAAAATTACCGAAATTGATCTGTAAACGAAAACTTTACAGATTTTTTTGTAAAATCAATATGTTTTCCACTAATTCGACATAAATCGGTGAAACCAAACAAGTTTACAAAAGTCAGTGAAATAATTACAGATAGTTCGGTGGCGTAGCTATTTTTACCGAATACTGTGTTTTTCACCGAACTTCTGTAAATACAGCTGTCAGCCATATTAACAATTGCAAGCGCCAGTTTGTGAACACAATTTGTGAAGTGGTCCGTTTAAAGTGAATAATATGGATGACATTTTGGAAGCACTCCAGGAGAACAACGAGAAACAAAAACAAACCAAGTTTTTGGAAAAAAAATAGTGTATCAGCTCCAATTCCTCGTGATATTTTGTTAAGTCGCCGACAAGATGTTCGACACGTTGACTCACTTCCCAAAAAAGTTTTGGTGAATGAAACTGGCTCCTACATAAGCATTATAGATACGCTGAAGTTTTTGTTTCGAGATCTCTCCAAAAGGAAACTTTTAATAGAATCAGATGCAGCTGACTCTCCATGCGTCAAAGAGTATAGTTCATTTAAATCAGACGAATTGTTTAAAAACAGTGAGTACTTCCGGGAAAATCCCAACTGTATTCGTATTAGTTTGTACCAGGATGACGTTGAATTAGGTAATGCTTTTAGTTCACGAGCTGGCATAAATAAAGTATTCAATTTCAATTTTAAAATTCAGAATTTTCCTGAAAAGTGGAACAGCTTTCCGAAAACAGTATTCCCGTTGCTTTTTTGTAATTCGATTGACGTTAAAAAACAAGGATTTCAGAAAATACTACAACCGTTGATTGCTGATCTGAGAAAACTGGAAGAGGGTGTTACGGTTTACTATGGTAACGAAAAATTTGTATTAAAATCTGTAGTTACAATGTTTTGTGGAGACACTCTTGCAGCACATGACGTATTTGGACTCCTAGGACCAAGTGCCAACTACTTCTGTAGAATTTGTCAGATTTCCAGAGATGAGTTCCATAACAACCCATCTGGCGAATTTGCTCTGCGAAATAGAGAATGGTACGACGAAAAACTTGATGCTGTTCAAAAAGGATGGATTGCTCCGAAGGATTGCGGATTGAAAGCATCAGGGTGTATCCTAAATGAACTACAGAACTATCATATATCGGACAACTTTAATCTCGATGGAATGCACGATTTTGCAGAAGGGGTTGTTCCGTTAACAATACAACTAGTATTCTATCACACTATTACAAGCGGAAACATTTGAAAATTGATGTACCATTTATCAACAATCGCATAAACACCTTTACCTATGGCTATACTGATCGCCACAACAAGCCTTCAGCAAATTTCACACATGAAATACTAGTACATCCGAACATGCACAAACTGAAACAAACATCAACACAAACATTTTTGTTACTGCGATCTTTCCCATTTCTGTTTGGGCACAAGGTACCACCGGATTGCGAGTTGATGGTTATGATCGGTCATCTTATCAACATCGTAAAAATTATAATGTCTCCAGTCGTTTCCCAACATCTAATTTACCAATTAAAAGAGGACCTGCATTATTTCGAACAAACATTCTACTCAACTTTCGACCGTCGCATAAATAAGTTACATCACCTCAAACATTACGCCCTTTGCATTCAAAAAAGTGGATCCATGAAGCAATATAACTGTCTGCAGTTTGAACAAACCAACAAAGTCGCCAAAAACCAAGCTTCTACATGTAAAAATTTCAAAAATATTTGTCGTAGTTTGGCCAAAAGGCAATGTGTTAAAATGACCTTGAATCTATTGGACAACCCATTCTGTGACAAGTTGAATTTCACATCAGGAAAACTCGTTGGTCGTAATGAATGTCTAAGTTCACTACTTCTGGATCCAACAGTACAACACGTGTTCATACCAAAAACTGCAATATTTAATGGGGTTGAGTTCAGAGTAAATGCTGTGATCGGCATAAATCAGCACGCAGATAATTTATTCCCTGCTTATGGAATTATTAGAGAAATTGCTGTTATTGATGGAAAAATGTACTTTTTGTTGCGGTTGGTGGAAACTGTATGCTATAGCAGTTTTTTCGACGCGTATGAGGTGCAAGTATTGGATGGCCAGCAATTACTTTACTCACAACTATGCTTTACTCATACTGTGTATTCCTTTTGGTCGCCGTACAGCTGCAACAAAAATATATTTCTAGACAATTTTACAACCGTGATTATTAAAAGTATAATTTTCGTTCATCACCGCTCTAGAGATTGTATTGCTTATTCACTGACGTCTATTTTTATTTAGAGCGAGAAGAAATCGACGATCTAGAAACATTCCTACAGTTAGATGATAAAGATTTCATTAGATTAAACCTTACAACAAAGATGATTAAGCTGATTCAGCGATTACAACACGAATACCGAGAAGTTGCAGTAGAGTATATTGACGAAGAATTATTTCAAAATAAGGATCACGCTACACAAGATGCCAGTTTCCAAGCTCCATCTGCTCCTACTGACTCTGATAATCCATATCAAGGAATATGCCTTGATGAGGTAAGGTTTTGGATAAGTTGTCTTAAAATATGCATTCTGTACTAACTAACGATACCATTTCAGATAATTGATATCGACTGCGTTCTCCAGATGACAGAAAATGGTCTTGCAATCATGGAGGTCCTTAAAGAACAGACCAAGCCTAAGGAGACGATGATTAAGCAGATCTGTAACATACTTTGTGGCTGTTTGAAAGCACTATACGGTTGGTAAGTAAAATTTTGATTGCTCATCTTTATATTGGTTATGTTGCGAAAGCAACAAGCCAACGATAACACCAAATCGCAAAATCAACTGACTTTCGATAACCAACACATCATATGTGACAGCACTCTATGGCAAGAGGAACTATGCTATTAGCACGAAGTACTACCACTGAGATTGGTGCTAGCCGTATTACTTGCGTATATTTAGTGTTATCTTTTAGCTTGTTGTTTTCTCCATCAAACCGTAACTTATTATAAATTATCTTCATTTAAATAGCAAGTTGTGCATGCTGCTTTCATTTAAAAAAAATCAACAATTATCAATTGAGAATTATTTTCGTTGCAGCCGTCCAAGCAATTTTTATAAAAATCAAATAGCTGTGTCCCTGATACGGTTTTATCCTACACTGGCAGCTAACTCCTCTGACACTCCGCAGGTGAATAAGCATCTAAGTGGTGATTTAAGTAATGCCGTTTAACAATTGCATTTAAATTCCTTTCGTAGGCTTTATGGTTCCATCCCCATGCCCGAGGTACAAATCGTCACGCAGGCCGGATCCATTACAGGATGGAGTACCTTGCTAGGACATCCGTTGACCGAGCATCAAAGCGTCATCCTCGCATAGTAAAATCTCAAGAAGCAGTTCATGAAAGCAATCTGGAGACCGAAATCAATTTGGTTGAAGCCGTAAGTATCTGTAATATAATTGCAAGATTAAATTTATGAAACTACTTTTTTAATTAGGAAGATGAGCTACGATTCATTGTACCAAACCAGCAGACAAAATCCCATGTGATCGATCTATGGAACAAAACGTTTGAGAGACGACAGAAATACCGGTTCGAGGAAAACTTTTTTTCGTTTGCAAAAGATTTTCCTGTTATAACGGCCTACGATGGAGATTTGGTATATGATCAAGTGTTTTTTGAAAATATTGTTCCGTTTAGACAAATATTACAACTTTGCAGATCCGTATTGATTTCCAAAAACTCAAACCGACAGCGAAACCGTTTATGGAAAACTGGAATACGGTGGAACCAAAAGTGATTATGAATAATCGTGAACTCAAAAATGGTAACTTTTTTAAGAGATGTCAACTTTGAAAAAGAAATGATAACTTGAACATTGACTTTATGACTACTAGATTTCGTTCGTGCGCTGGCAATTATCCGCATGAAGAATCCGTCTCGTGGGTCTAAAAGAGTAAGATATGAAGAAGCAAGTAGGAAGAATCCCTTGAGAGGAATTATGTAAGTTTAGTGTTCTTCAAATGTCTTAGCATGGTTTTATTATTAACTATTTTTTTTCATGCAGGCAGAAGACGATTTCCCATCACATGGTGATCAAAAATGCTTGCCAATTTTGTATGCTAGAGGTACATTGCTGGAGGAATCAACTGATTGTGCGATTGTTTGGGGGAACACTGTTGTTCCTCTCCAATTGGATATAAAATCATCATTTTCAGTCCTGTTGGAGTCGTTCTATGTTTTCAATGTTTCTCCAGCACCTTGTGACAAACAATTTTATTTATTTATGGTCGGAGCAGTAATGGGCGTGGGACAATTAAGTACAACAGGAATGAAGTTCTAACATGCGGTGACTTAAATTTTATCCACTACTTTGAAAATTCTCCCCGTTAACCATGCTTGTTCAATAAAACAGCGGAGTTTCCTCTGGTAATCACAATTAATAATACTCCGCGAAACGAATGAAAACAATGAATGTAGTTTCATGAACGAATCGCTTTTGAACAGAGATTATTTCTTAAACGAAGCTGTAAAAGAGTACAAGGTTTTACATGTGATTTTTGATCACAAATTTTTCATTACAATAAAATAAATCGTCAAAAAAGTTTTTGATTATTTTATCAGAATAAAGAAAAGTATTGAGGATCTCAATGTTAAGACTGTGTTCTGGAAATAAACGTGTGTTTATCGTACACTTCTTACTTTTGCATAACAGTCAGAATATTTTGATTTTCAGTATTTATTTCATTAGAACCAAAAAGAACCAACAGAAATGAGTTGTAAGTTCACAGAATTATTGTGAAAAAATACCGAATCGTTCGGTAAATTCATTTTATTTTAACAAAAAAAAAACACAGTATATCTGTGAAAAATAACAAGACAACTGTGAAAAATCACAGAACTTTTCGGCAATTTTGACAGATAACATTTTTGCAACTTTACAGATTGTTCGGTGATTTGAAAAATCACCGAACTGTTTACCGAACGTTCAGCTGTTGAGATTTCGGTAAAATTTCACCGAAATCTGTAAAATATTCTGTGTGCTGACTTTTTAAAATATTTAATTCATCATTCTAATATTTAAAAAATCTTATATTCTGTGTATGTAATAAGCCCACTTTTTATGAAATGTGTTTTTTTAGTGTGAGTAAAACGTAAGTATTGTGACGTACTTCTGATTAGCGTGTTGTTTTTGTTGTCAATTATTCTTCACAGTCTGAAATCAGTTTTGTCAACTTGCTCCTTGTTATTGTTTTTATCCGGTGAAAATGGACGGGTAAGTTTATGAAGTTTAAGACAGTTAGTTTATCTTGATGTAGGGTTTATTTTTACAGTTCGTACGGACCAGAAGAATACCTTGAGGAAGAAGATGGTTATCAAGACGGTAACCCACTCGAAGGTACCAGCAACATCGACTCCAGTGCTGGTGGAAAAGTTAACGATACGGACATGCCATCAGTACATCAGACAGCGAGTCAGGAAATGAAGTTTGACATTGAGTTTTCTGGATCGGATGATGAAGGAGTGCAGTCAAAATTCTGCTTCAATGGGATCTATGTCCAGCGTTTATATAAAAGCCAGCTGCGGCCAAAGGAAGTAACCCAAACACTTGTGAATGGGAATTCACTCGAGGAGATACTTCAATGCATTTGGAAACAAGCTTGCAAACTGGTACGTCGACAGGTGATCTTCGTAGAAGAAGTTCCTCACTGGTCGGAAAAACAAGATCCAGAATTTGAGGACATCGATAAATTCGTTTCGCTACAAGATACGGTGAAGAAACAGATCTATGCAACATAACGTATCACACCACGGCTGCTGGTGTCATGGAGGAATCATTAGGTCAGTATCAATTAGTAATGCGAAGATTGATTGCACCTCAAAGCCCTGACCGCTCAGGGGTGCATTCAACTAGGGATGACTCAGTATTAGCTAGTGAGCTACGAAGCAGTCATTCCCACATTGAGGGACACTTCAGTTCCTGGAGGCTGGGGACAAACTTGATCAATTCCAGCCCACAACCGTGATCGAATGTTGCAAGCTGAATCTCCTCCTATCGAGTTGTTCGCTGGACTGGTGTCTCGGAAGCGGCTCCACTACAATATGTTCATTGGAGTATGGTTGCTGCCCAAACAAATAATGATGCATGGTGCCGTGATATGACTGATCTTTTGAATGACTTAAACGTGGTCCTTAATATCTTGCAAGGAATGAAACAAAAAATAGACAGCATGTCCGCCTGAGGATCGGTGAATTTCGAACTATTTACAGCGATGGAATCGGTTACGCGACCGGAAAAATCAAACCTTAGTCGTGAGATAGCCGATAAGGTGACTAATTGCGTGGATGTGGATCATGCGGGATGATTATGAAAATAAGTGCGTTGTGTGGAATTATCACATGTGCTCTTTTTTTATCAAAATATAACAAATATAACAATGCAACTATTATACACATTTCTTTTATTCATCAAATCTATGACTGCTGATGACTTTCATTCAGGAATAATATTAAAATCCATATATTTAGGGTCTTGGTCCAGACCTTTTTCTGCAAGAAAAACGCCCCAGGTAAGTAGCCACAGTTTTCGAATATCTGCTTACACTCATAGACATTGAATGCACTCATAGCTGCACAAACTTCTTTCAAAATGGAGCCAGTCTCTTGGTAATTCCTTCTAAGGTACGCCGTAATCAAGCCAAAGATAATCTCTATAGGGTTGAAAAATGGGCAATATGGTGGTAGGAATATCGGAATGATGCCAATAGAGCGAAAATATCTTATGATATTGGCGTCGCAATGGATGCGAGCGCCATCGAAAACCCAAAATTGAGTGAAACCCAGGATACCGTTGTACATGGGGATTATTTATAGCAAAGTTTCGACTACAGCTGAAACATTTTTGCCATCCAGAAACTATCTAGCATACCATTTATTCCTAGAAAACATAAGAAAGAAACACTAGGCTTTCTACAGAATTCCCCGCGATAAATAACTTTCTGGCCAACAACTCCGTACTCTTTTTTGCGCAGCATATCCTTATTGTCAATACTAACCTCGTCCAGGAAAACCAGGTTAAACAAGTCCCATGGAACTGCAAGCATTTCCTTAACAAACCGGACCATCTCATCCTCTCCGATCTGGATAGCCCTTCTTTCGATAGTCTTCCAGGTCATTCCAGATTCATGCAATATTGTGCAGATAGATGACACTTTTATCGATAGCAGAAATCGCTGTTGGAATCGCTGTTTCGCTTCGTCCAAAAACAAGAAAGGCTCGTTTTGATATAGGTTGACAAGCCAATCACGCATATCGGTGTTGAATTTCTTAAACACTTACAGGCGCTGCTTCCTTCGGAAAATTCCATCTCGCTCGTACTTGAAGAACCACTCGTAAATAGTTGATCGGCATTTTCCATAAATGATATCAAGATCCTTCTTCAATATTCGAGAAAATAATGGCCGTAAGGCGCATGATAAACCGTGCTGCTTGTTGACCACGAATATTTTAAATAATTATGTTAGATTTTGTGTTTGGCTTCATAATAGAGGACAATTTTTAATCAAAACTCTTGTGCGATGGGATCAAGTTAACAAAAAAAAAACATTATTTGCAAA